ACACACACACACACACACACACACACACAAACGTGCGCCCGCAACTTCTACCAAACTGAAAACGCTTAGACTTAGAGTTTAGAGTGCCTCGCACTCTGATAATATGACCTTCTGCAGTTGCGAGAACCGTAAAACTAAAAACACTTACCAAAAATAAAACCCAAAATGCAAAAACCTTTATTAGTGAGAAGAGTGAACAAAAGCAGCTACACTGCTGCCAACAACATTGTCAACAACGAATATAATCCAATAATTATGGATTTTGTGTAACAGCCAAGGAGATTAAAAGTAATTCTAAACATCCTTGGTAACAGCTAATCTGAACAGTTAGGTTTACAACGTTGTATTCGCTGTCTCCTGTTTTGTTTCAAAATAATTACATTTAAACATAAAGTAAATAGCCTGATCTATATTTTAGAAATACATCTAGATCTACCTGAAGACTATCGATAAAAACAAAAATAATTTATGCATGTGTAACTAGCCTAATTATGGATAGCCGAGGTTAACTCTTTTAGTGTACGGAAACAGTTTCCAGGGAAGACTACTCTATTAAGCTGAACTCTCACATTTTTGAAGTTCAATAATATTGGAGTCAACAAACGAAACAAGCATTGTTTTCTCCTCATGCCTCATGGACGCCGAGCAGGTTGGCTCTCTACAAATATTTAATTTTATATTCAATATATAATTATAATCGTGCTGTTTGTACGTTTAGTCTAGTCTATATCTACGCTCCTAGCTTCATGCGATAATTTGATTTAGATTAAAAGAAAGCAATGTAGATCTAGAATCTAGATCTAGACTCTAGATCTAGATTCTAGATCTAGATTTCTAGATCTAGAATCTAGATCTAGATCTAGATTCTATATTCTATATCGACTATATCTAGATCTAGATATAGATCTAGATTCTAGATCTAGATCTAGATTAGATCTAGAGTCTAGAGATCTAGTATATCGTGGACGGGAGTTGTTGATCTTGATTTGAAACGAATGTCTGTATGGAGGTGTTGATTGTTGGAGCCACGGATAGGCAGGCTGGGCTTTCGAAATTCAAGTTTTCCAAAGCTTGGAGTACTGACTTTCCGTCTGTGAAGATAATAGTGTTCTTGATTTTGTTTGGATGTATTACACCTATGAGAAAATGTTGGTCAGGTGGAGGATTGCTGCTTCAATGGCGATGGTCTCAGCCTCGTAATTTGTACAAGAAGTACCACATGCATCAAATAGCTCTTCACATGTTAATGTTTTTTCAGGATGTTAAATTCTTACCCCAAAGCCTGCGTTTATAGTTCCTTTGAAGGCTGACCCGTCTGTGCAAATATGAATTGAACCACTAGGGTAGGAGTCAATTGTCTTCAGAGCTGTTGTCTTCAGTCGTACTGGGTCACATTCCTTTTTCACTGTCTCTTTTATGAGGGAAGTTTTGATGTTGGCATTCTTGATGTTAGTGTTTGGGGGGAGTTCTGGTCTACTTAAGGGTTTCAGCATTTCTCTGTTACATGGAAGATGGTGTTTTTCTGCTAGTTCAGTGGCTGTGTCAAGTATTGATCTTCCTTGAATCCGTTTCTTCGGTCGTCTCTGTTCAATTAATTTCCTGTTTGGGTGGTTTTTCTCTAGTCTTTTGTAGCACACTCCCTCGTCTCCACAACTGCTGCCTCTCTCTGCAAGTCCAAGGGTTCCAGGTTCGTATGGATTTCACAAGCTGCAGTTGGAGTGGATCTCAAAGCTCGGGAGATAAATGGTACAGCTTGATTTTGGATTTTGTCAAGAGACCTCTAAGTTGGTTTGCTGTGCTGCAGATTGTCTGTAAGGTTAGGTTATATTCCATGGCAGAGCGTACATAGCCAACATATAGCTGTCTGAGCGCATCCTTGTCCACTTCCCATTAAGTGCTAGTCGTCTGAGAAGGTTAAGTCTCTTGTTGGCCTTGGTCTTCAGGTTCCAGATATGGTTTTTGCATGAAAACGGTCTGTCCAGCTCGATCCCAAGTTAGGTCGGGTTTTCAACTTTTTCTAGTTTGTTTCCTGCAAGTGAGATGGTGAGATTTTGCTTTGCAACTTTGTGGCTTTTTGTAAAGACGGTGTAGATAGTCTTGGTACAATTTACTTTTAGTTTCCACTTGCAGCAGTAGTTGTTGAATCTATCTAGATCCTCATTTACAAGCCGTGCACTGATGCCAGCTTGTTTACTTGTATGCCAGATGGCTAGGTCGTCGGCATGGCCTTCTTCGATTTCAGTATCTCAGGCAGGTCGTTTATGAAAAGGCTGTCGTTATTCGGACTCGAGTCCGAATAACATTTTTTCATATTCGGACTCGAGTCCGAATAACATTTGTTCATATTCGGACTCGAGTCTGAATATGAAAAAATTGAAAAAATGTTATTCGGACTCGGGTCCGGAGAAAAGGAAGTGTCTTTGTTCTATAGATCTAACGTTCAGTGCTTCCAATTTTCCGCCATTTTTTAGTTTCCCCCACACCTTATCTGCCGATCCAATGCCCGCCGCCTCATTGATATGCCCCCCCCCCCCCCCACGTTTCCCACTTTCTTTGTTGTAGAAAAAGGTAAAATTGAAGATTAGCAGACACACAAGCCTGTGTCATATCGATTGTTTACCAAGAAAAAGTTGTGTTGCTGTGTAGAGCTGAGCATACGGAACTTTTGATTCCATAGATCCATAGACCAGCGCACAATTCATTACGTAGATCTACGTCAAGACTAGCTTATTATTGTAATAATGATCAGTTGCCGGGGGGAAAAGACTGACTCGTATGCGACGTTCAAAGCCCGGACTGATAGTGCCCCCCACCACCACCCTCCCAGACACGCACACAGCCACACGTGTGCAGGCCGCCCCTCCAAGATTAAAACCCGGCTCCTGCACAAAACGCCTTTTTGCCCGAAGTGAGCCCGGTCTCTACCCAGCCTGAAGCGAGTCACGAGTGAGGCAGGACAGGAAGCCGGAGTCACGAGTCACAGGAAGTCGGAAGTGATGTCATGCTGGACAAGAATCAGAGTCCGAATAACATTTTTTCATATTCGGACTCGAGTCCGAATAACATTTTTTCATATTCGGACTCGAGTCCGAATAATCACTTCGTTATGAAAACAAGGAAAAGTGTGCAGCTCGGAGAGGAACCCTGGGGTAGGCCCCCCTCTAGTACAGCTTTGGATGACACACCATGGTTAATCCTGGTCTTAATACCAAAAAGTTTTTTTCTTTGGGCCCCGAGGCTATGTCACGTTCTGTCGATTGTGGATCCACGGAATGCGCAACAGTCCATCGATTGTTGCGCATTCTGTAGATCGGTGGATCACACACCGCAGCACTTTTTGTGGATCCATAGAATGGGCAACAATCGATTTAATTATAAAAAGTATTAATTTAGTAGACATAAGTCATTTTTAATGGGACAAATCATAAAGTACATATATATATAGTTGTAGTAGTAACCGCAAAAGAAATAGACACTGGTTTTTTAGCTGAAAATGTGTCCCTCTTAAAAAAGTAATTTTTATGAATGTCATTCCTCTTAACTTGCATCAGGGTACAGCATGTCTGTAGTAGTAGTAGTAGTAGTAGTCTGCTGTTTGTTGTGATGAATGTCCATCTTATAAAACAGTTAAATAGTTGACTTGGAAGCTCATATGTGGTATCCTATCTGTGTTTGATGGTCTCTGAGACTTGTGATCGTTGGTGCCTGCTCCAGGCCTGACACCTACCTGAAGGAGGAGGAAATAGATTATAAGTGCAATGTCAACAATATGGATGTGGATTCTCATCTGAATGTTAACACCTTATTTCAATGCAGAAAAATGAAACACTCGACGCTCGGTTAAGATAATAGATCCGCTGCGCATTCTACGGATCCATTAAAAAGCTGCGCGATCCACCGATCTTATACAGAATGTGCAGCAATCGATGGATTGTTGCGCATTCCATGGATCCACAAAATGCGCTGCACGATCCACCGATGGCTAAAATCGACAGTACGCGCCTAACAAATTATATATATATCTATTTTTATATTTATTGATATATAATAAATTATATACAACTGCCATGCAGTCCCAGCAAAGAGAAGAATATGACTGATATGGTACTAGCGTGTCGTTCGAGGCGACTAAAAATAGCAAACCAGGTAGTGACTCCCGAAACAGAGTCATTCTCCCTCCAGGTCGGGGGTTGAGTCACGAGGCTGACAACGTCTCTCGTAAAAAGATCCTGTTACAGAAACACATACAAGCAAATACCATTATCTCTTCTTGGCTGGTCGTGGATTTTCTTCAAATGGAGAGAATATAATGAATAATGTGAATGATGCGAGTCAGTGAAAGCCGAAAGAAAGCTACTGGGCAGAAGCCTCCACCATCATCTAAGTCCAAGTCTCATCGGATTGGAAACATGGAGGAGATGCGTGGAAAGGGACATGAGAGAGATGAAGCTCACTTGGAACGAGCGTGGAAGGATGGGCCGGGACAGAGATAAATGGAAGGAGCTTGTATGTTGCCTATACTCTGCCAGGGGTGAAAGGCATTGATGATGATGAAATTATAATAATATGAATGTATGTATACTGCTCTTTGGATGCATACTGGCAAGACCATTAATTATTAAAATAAATGGCTTACAGTAACCAAGCCTGCAAATTGTTCATTTTGAGACAGTATCAATGCCACCCTGCCTCATTTCAGTGTAAGCTTGTTGATTTTACCCCACTTCTGTCTAGACGTCTCCACAGGTGCTGCACAATATGAGTCTTGAAAATTACTCACCCCGTCTCATGAATTGTATTTCTTAGATGTACATGAGGCCTAAAGTTTGGTTTTGAGGAAAAATGATTTCATATATAAGTCATTTTTAAAATGATTTAGGTGTATGCTGAGAGTATTGCAAAATGGCGGGGCCACGTGTAGCAGTATTTTTTTTGTGTATGAAATTTTTTTTGGTTTTGTTTCAATGTTAAGGATAGGTTGGACCATTGCAAGTATACATTTTAAAAGGCAGATCCTATTGCTCAGATCAGGGCTTCATCTTAGAATGTTTTTATTTTCAGATTGAGGAGTTTTTTCCTTTATGATATATCAGAAAGGTCATACAGCTTTTCAAGATGGAATCAAGAAGCATTGACTTTGCAAAGACTGCCTCTATTGACATGATGTCTCTTAACAATAAGGTATTTTTATTCCATGACATCTATGTGCATTGTATATCAATTGGTAATGTTTATATATTATGAAATGCATATTTGGTGAACTTTTATTCTATTTTTCTTTTTTATTCATCAATAAATTTGATCAGTAATTACCTTGTATTTTATTATTGTTGTGTGTTTTTTGGCATACTGATGAAAGTGGAGTCTTTTATTTTTTGAAAAATATTGTTGTCTCCATTATTGTTCATTTACTTTCAATAGATTCTCCTGGATTCATATCATGATAGTGACTGCAGCAAAAACAAATTAAAATTCAGCTGAAAGCTAAGTGTAGGATGAAAATTTTTCTTTTTGGCTGCATACATTTTAAGTTGCCTTAGAATAGACTTGTTTTGTATCTAGCAGAGTGTTGAACGGGAAAGAAATACAGCATATAAAAGACAAAAACGTTCCAAGTTAATGTATGGATTAACCCATATATTTTGTGGCGCAATCAGGTTACATATTTCAGCTTTATTGAGCGTTTTTTGGTCTAATGTTTGAAGATCGTTGCTTGTGCCAAATATCTGAAAGTAAAAAAATAAAATATATTTGAATTACCCCTTATTCTGTGGATTCTTTCTATTTTTTCAGATTGTTAATATGAGGCAAGTTGTGAAAAGAGCAAAAGTGCAAGTCATCAACAAATTGTGCAGACAGATCAAAGATTTGAAGAAGAAAAAGTAAGATTCTAAATTAATTTACCAAAATTATATGAGATAGGACATTTTTATTTAAATGTGAAGACTGACCTTTTAGTTTTAGAGTGGTAACTGGTAACAGTTGAAGGAGGGCTCAGTGCTCATATGAGTGATGTTAATTTAGCTTTTTTTTTTTATAGATTGTGCCTATTACAATATCTCTGAAATTGACCAGCCTCCTTTTCAGGGGGTAATGTAGTTTGTTGTTGGTACAGAAGAAGTCTTGCTCTAATTAGTCTACTTCATCTTATAGAAATGGGGACACTCTGTTGCTTAACCCTATTGCTGTCAGTGGTAAACTTACACTTGTCAGGGGAAAGTCTTAGGAATAAGGGTGCACCTTTAGATGTAAAAAATGAGTACATATGGTAGCTTTTAAGGACAAGTGGACTAACCCAGATTACGGGGGCTTCCAGAAATCTTGACCTACACCAAAAGTGGGCATTGCCCTACCTATAGGAGCAGTTTGTTTCATTGGTGTGTATATATTTGTTTGGTTACAGAGAAAACTCACTCCCCACCAGGACAGTGCTACTGACTGACGTGTCTTTAGCCAATTCTCAAAGGGGGATATTTATTATTAATATATTCATATGCACAGCAGAATTGTAAATGGGCTGATTTATCAATATCATGCTTATACTGTGCTGGAACAACATAGGGGGAACTGCTGCTTTTTCTTTCCCATCCTTACTATTTTCATTATCCTCTACCTCTTATGTATGTTTTGCGGCTCTCGGTCCAGCGAGGCCACATCCTTGAGCCGCAAAATGCGGCTCGCGGTAGGAAAAGTGTTAAGGGCGAATAGAAGTATATCTTATTTCATTTATTATTAGAATATGCTCCCATGTCTGGAAAAGCTGTTTAGAGACGTCAACCAGGGTAACATGATTGGCTTCACTTAAAAAATGTGAACATGTTTGACCAAATTATGCAACTATAATAACTCTGAGGTTAATGCATTGAGGTATTTTTTTTACATTGGGTTGGTAAATATGGCCTGAAAATTTTCTACTGTTTAATGCTCAGTAGTCTAGTGAAATGAAAGACCCGAAGAAGGAGCTGAGAAGTGCTGATAGGTTCACAGATACGGAAATTAAAAGAGCTGTGTCTGGGTACCTGGCTGTTTTCCCAAGTCATAGAGGATTTGTTTTCTTGTATGCCCCATTTTGACAACCCCCCCCCCTCTCGAAACTCAAAAGAAGTCTTGCTTGGCTGGTTGCTATAATCTCAAAACTTCTTTGATGTTGTTCTCCACATGAACTTCGGCAAGTATTCTTTCCTCATTATCGTCACCCCTTTCAGTCTGCCACAGCCACAGCAAAGGAATATTGCACTAAACCAAATTTGTTGCAACAGGCTCGACCAAATCTGAACTTGTGCTTGAAAACTTTAAATGGATCTAAATTTATGGCTAAAGTAAAATTGGAAGATATGTATATTAAAATTTTAATTGTTTTGTCAAAATTTAATAAGGAATGTTTGTAATTTGGTTGAAACAAAGTAGAAGAAGGGATTTGTAGTTTGTTCGACAATGGTACACCAACTCACAGTACGTGTATTTAGTTTTTACAAACCACTTTACTGTTTCCTTATTTATTTATACTTCCATTGTCCTATATCTTTGATTAAAGCTTATGATTTTTTAAATTAAAAAGAGTTCCATGTCCATGTGTGCAAGTTTTGCACAAATGTTACTTAATTAATGGCTAAAATTTATACTTTGAACCGAATAAGACGCTTGAAAAGTTCCTTTTTCCGTACTTGAGTATTGACTGTTTGTTGTTATAATTACTGGAATTCTACTCTCACTACATTTTCTTTATTACTCTCCGTTGGTTTTAGAGGTCAAATTGTTCCATACTGTCCTTTCGTCCAGTTTGACTTGTGTTGGTTTTGGGATTTCACCGTTTTGAATGCTTTTGATTAACTGATGATCTGCTTAGTTTTTTTAATTTACTTTTTTTCTTTTTTTTCTTCTCTTTTCTATTAAAGAGGGACAGAAGAACAGAAGACGAAAAATCTTCAGAAAGCAGAACGGCTGATTGAAGAGATTGACTCCATGAAGGTGAGGGTGTAAGGAATAGAAATTTTCAAATCTTTGTCCGGTAGCATTTATTAAATTATTTAACGAAATGTGCATAGTGTTTTCATTTGTGTGACATTTTGCTGCCTTATATTTCAATAGTTCAAATGCATGGGTGAAATTTGCAATTCGTAACTTGGATAGTGATTTACTAAGCTTGTTTTTAAATTATTTGTATTGCTTTATGTTAATTATTCAGTGATGCTCCCAGTATATATCTCATTATGTACAATTTACTACATTTGAGTTTTTATTTTATTTTCAAGCTGCTCTTTCTTTTAATCTTGAAAGTATCATAATTATATTGTGTTTTAAAAGAACTAAGTGTGTCATGACACTGTGGAATCAGGCGCTGGGCAATTTTTTGGCGTGTGGAGTTACTAATATCATCTTAAAGCGTATTCATTAGTCTTGCATTCGGTGAAAAAAATACCCATCATGTATCTTGAATAGAAGTCAAAATATTTACAATTGAATGAGATGGGCTCACCTGTTTTTAGAGGGAAAATAAGCGAGAAAATGGTGACTTCCAATCTAGAGAGTTCTTGGAAACTGCAAATTTACTTTTTTTGTTGCTTTTAATCGTTTTTTTCATAAAAATTCACACTTAAATGAGTCCGGGGAGGGGGGGCTCCCGGAAAGTCCTGATTCGGCTCAAAACTATGGGTTTCAAGTTGTAGGCATTTTCTGCAGCTTCTTACAACTGTTTCATCACGTAAGAACCCCCTAAAGTCTTATTTCTTCCCGTACCAGGCATGTTTGTCACCACCTTTTCTCCATAAAGTCAATCTTTTATTTTTATTTATCACCCGTTTTCTCGAAACTTGATTTTTCTTAATACTTCTTTTAATAACTCCACCATTTTTCATCCAATCATGAAATTTTCACAGAAGGGAGAAAAGATGTAAAAAATTCGTATGATGAATTTTAGATAAATGCAATAGTTTTTTGTTGGTGGTGTTTGGAGTGTTGATTTTCACTGATTTTTTGCAAACGTGAGTAATAAGGCTGCCGTATCCGTGGAAACAATTTTTTTTTCTCCAATTTGATTTCCGATTTTAATACTCCTTACTATGCTTGTTATATGTGTGGCCTTTGGTAACATTTGATCCCGTAATAAGTGAGATTGCCTTCAGCTGCTGCCCCCTAACCTAAAGCCAAAAAACAAAAAAATTCGATAAAAGTTGCCTAACGGGCAGAAAAGTGTGATTTCTTCAATTTCATTGTTTTGACGAGCACCTGATTTCGCTAAGATTCCTCACAAATAATCAAATTTTCTTCCTCATCAGTTTTCTTTAATTTTTGCCTTATTTTCATTAATTTCAATTTGTGTTGGTCTGAGAAAGATATGCTGATGTTTTTTCTTGCAGTTGTTACTTTTTTCTGCTGTTGAGGGGGGTTTAGATTTTTTGGTAGTTGGAACAAGCGTTTTGAGTGTCTCTTAAAAAGGTGTTTTAGACCATTGTTTGCATTCCCTGTTGGGGTTTCACCGTTTACGCAATTTGATCTCCTTTGATATATATATATATATGCTTGAAAATGGTTGTGAAGGCAGGTGCTCTGCTCTCTTGCTTACATGTCTTTGTGTGCTTCTTTTGGACTTGCATAATGACAAAGAGTAATATGTTCCCCCCTCCCACAGAAATTAAAGGAAGACAAGGTCTCAAAGTACGCCTTGGCCAACACCACTTCCTTCGAGGAGATTTCCAAGGTATTGTGTTTTGCCGTTAAGCATCGCTCAGCTCTCTGGTATTTAGGATCAGATCTACTTTTGTTTTTTTCTGTTTTTGAACAAAGGTCAACATTAATATTATTTTGAGGAACTTTCAACTGTATTTTCTTAATTTTCTCGACTTGAAAGGTACATTTTCTTTGGTCTTTTTTAAACATAGTATGGCTAATTCAAATGTTGTGCCTAAAAATTGTTTGAGAACTCTGCCTGCTAGAAAACTGACTCAATATTTCATGTGCTTGTCTTGTATTGGATATGATTAAATTAACATTTATTATATATTTGTGTACAAAATTTATTGTGCATAAATCCCCCCGGCAGTGCTAGTGACTGAAGTTGTCTTTAGGCCATTCCCAAAGGGGGGATATTAACATGTTCTTATGCACAGTAGAATTGTAAATGGGCTGATTTATCAATGTCATGCTTATACTGTGCCGGAACAACATAGGGGGAACTGCTGCTTTTTCTTTCCTCATCCATGCTATTGTCATTTTTACCTCTACTTCTTTTGTATGTTTGTCACTCTCTAGTGAATTGCTTTTTGTGGGGTGCCTTGATAGTTGAAGCAGACTTTGTACTGTTGAGGCTAGAGTAAGGCTGATTCCCCGTTTGGACTTCTCTGTTGACATCCACCCCTTGGCGCTCGTATATGACCTTATGCGGTTGCGAGCGCCGTAGAACCTTACTAAATCAAAAGCATAAATCAGAAAATTGTGGCTGTCGCAAGCAATCGACTTAAGTTCAAATTTTAAAATGTTCAGTTTGTACTCCCTTTCAAAGATGCACCTTTTCAGTATCACCAAAATGCAAATATGCAGTTTAATGCTAGACTCTATGGTCAAGGCTTACAGTTTTCTTGCTTTTCATGATTCGTAATAGGAACAACACAACAAAAACTAGGTTTTTATGTCTCTGGTGTAAAAAGTATTCAAAGGGACCAAAGTAGATTGCTTGCAATATTGATGAAGTGTATAATTTTTACGTGCGAGAACTATTTTTCTACTTCACCTCACACTATCACAGTGTCAATTCAGTTTGATTCTTAGAAGGGAGATCATTAAAGTTAAATTGCTGTGGAATGCCTTGTGATTGTTTTAGCATTGATGATGTAATTTTTGTCATTTATAGTTAACACTTGTCTGACTCTTTTCTAAATGAAGACACATACGCGAGGCATCGTGGTGAAATCAGGCACTAGTTAAAATAAGGAAATCAAAGAAACAGGCATTTTTCCTCCAGTTTGGCAATTTTTATTGAATTTTTGTATATTGGCCCAACACGTTTTATGTCCATATAAAAACACATTCCCATATGAATTTAACTGAAAAACATCGATCAATGGCAAAAATGTGTAAATTTTCAGTTTACAAGGGCTCTCAAGCTATAGAAGTTACCAAACTTTGGCGACCATTTTCTCGCTAATTTTACCTCTATAACCATTGACCCCTCTTTCTTCAATCCCAAATATTTTTATTTCTAATCAAGATAGATGGATATTCTTTTCATAGAAAGCAAGGCAAGGCATATGAATAAGCTTTCAGATGATACCAATAACACCACATGCCCAAAAATTGATGAGCGCCTGATTTCATCATGTCGTGACTCTTGTTTGACAATTGTAAAGAAAATTCAGTGTAGAACACATGTTTTAAAAATTTCTGCTATTACGAGAATGATAATGAAAGTGACAGAATTTTTACTCTTTTTTATTTATTTTTTGTTGCAGGCAACAATAAAGGCGGGGCCACGAGCTCTAGCACGCCTCTCTGCCCACCCATTGATGGTGAAAAAAGTCGATGATTTCCGGCAGCAGCACCAGGACTGGCGTGATCTAGCAGCGTACTTGCTGGTGAAGCAGACGGGAAGACGCTTCAAAACCAAGAAACAAAAGCAGATAAAGCTGGCGCAGTCTGTGGAAAACATTGAGGCGTCGGAGACGATGACGAAAGCATACATTCAGGAAAGGTTCGGAGAAGAGGGGCTGAAGAAAGCGGAGCAAAGGTTTGAGTGGAAGAGGAAACGTCAGAGACCGTTGCCGAAACAAGATAATCAGGGGAGTGAATCCAAGGATGAGGGTAGCAAGGGAGTCATGGGAGAAGGTGAAAAGGTTGTGCATAGTCACGGAAGATCTGATGGTAATTCTGAAGACAGCGCGTTCTCTGATGTACAAAGTGATGACGAAAACTTGGTTGAGGGCAAAACATTGGAAAGTAATTCCTCAATGAATGTTGGAGAAATAATGACATCGTCTCTAACTGTTGATGATACAAAGGAAAGTAATGATGAAGATGTTGATGAGAGTGAGGATGAAAATGGTGCTGAGGATGATGATGAGGGTGGTGATGAGGAAGGGAAAGAGGAGGAAGAGGAAGGGAAAGAGGAGGAAGAGGAAGGAGAAGAGGAAGATGAGGAGGAAGAGGACAGTTCTGAAGATGATGAGAGCGATAGTGGAGAGGTTAAGAAGCCCCAGTTGGTTACAAAACCAGAGAAAAGCTTGTTGCCTTCAAAAGGTAATGCCAGCAAGCCTGAAATCATGAAAAGTAATACGGCTCCCAAGGATGGCAAGAAATTGAAACAAAGTGAAAGTGTAATTAGAGAGCTGAATCTAGAAGAAATAGCTGGTGAAGACATTGATGATGGGGACAGTAGTGATTCAGACACTGGTGATACTGGCTCAAGAGTGAGTGAATCTAGAACGAGTGGTGAAGAAGCTAATAGTAGTGAAGAAGCTGATGACTCTCACAATGAAGTGACTAGTTCTTCTAAACAAAAGATGAAAGTTAAAAAATCTAAGGAGGTGATTGCATCTACTTTGTTGACTGGCAAGAAGAAGCATGATGAAAAGGAGAAGGATATTCCTGATTTACTTTTACACCGTAGTTCTGTGAAAAAATTTCGAAAGGACCCATTTTTTGAAGCCAGCGGTGATGAAAGCGATGGAAGCAGCAATGATGAGCTTGAAGTGCCTATGGATAATGCTTCAGATATTGCTCACACCTCACAGTCTCAAGATTCCTACGGTGCTTCTACATTTAAAGGCAGGAACTTTGACTCTATGTTTCACAATCCTTGGTCTGATGGGGAAGAAGAGAAGTCGTTGAAAAACAGAAGAGGTGGAGGAGGAAGGGGAGGAAGAGGAGACTTTCATCTCAACAGAAATAAAAATTACAGCCGTGATGGATTCAAGTCTTTCAAAAGAGGTAGCAGATTTGATAGTCCCAGAGGAATGAGGGGACGGGGGAGCGATCGAGGAGGGAGAGGCAGAGGAGACCACAGTAGAACCTACTCCAGGAACAACAGAGACTCGTCATCAGTTTGGGAAAAGCCAAGAGACAGAGGGTGAGTTGACCCTTTATTTTGTTTCTCCAGTTCTGCTGTAAGCTGACGAAATGCCTTTTATTTTTGGCACCAAACTTTTTTTATTTGCTGAATCGAAAACTTTATCAGTCACCCTACTAGTGTGAAAAAATCAAATTGGAACTGCGTTGTTTTTTAAATAAATTAGAATTTAAATTTCGGAATAAAGCCTTTTTAAAATGATTATGCTGAAAAAAAACCTCTACTTCGAACTGCTGTGAATTTTAAAAAAGGCGTTTTGTCAGCTTACAGCAGAGTTAGGTTAAAGTGTTTTTTGAAACTTTTCAACATTCATTTGAGGACCAAGAGGTATGCTGCGTTTATGTACCTGGTCATCGGTGGATAGACATCACATAGAAATGACAGAAGTATATTAGACAGAGAAGCAGTACCGTCCTGTTGTACTGTCTGCCCTTCCCATCTATGCGTATACAATATTGATATGAAAGTTGAATGTATCATGCTTCTTTCCTTTCAAACATCTATCGTCTTTATCTCCCCTTCTTCTTTTTTAAAATGTTTGTTACTCCCTTGTAACTCCTAATCTTCTGGCGCTCATTTGACCTTATGCAGTTTGGAGCGCCGTAAAACCTCTACTAAAACTAAAAACTATCTTTTAAAGACATGTTTAACTCACGCAACCCTAACGCTGATAATATCGGTATGTGCGTGCAAAGCTCCAACCTTAACGCCGTCAGTATCGGTATAGAAATTTTCATTCTCGTGACCGAAAACACTACTTTTGTATGAAGCAGACTAAAGCCTTATTGGAAGAGTAACCATTTTTCATTTGAAACATACTATGACCAGAAGTGCAAGCCCAAATTTAGAACAAAGGAAGCTTCGTGCACCATGTGAGGGGGTGCAAACTTTGAACGCACTCCCTTTCTTTGCTTTTTGTTTACTTTTTTGACTCTGTACATAGACCTTTTTCCACAAAGTATTGCATTAAAACTATGACATATTTTGCCTTCAAATTTTCAATACTCACAAATAAAGGTTTGAATAAAATGTGTACCAAATCTGGTTAGGATTTTTTGTGAATAAAAACTCATATACAAGCTTGATTTTGCTGTGTCAAATAGGCGGTGCAGAATTAATTAAAAGTACAGTGTACATGCACATAGGGAAACTGATGGGACGCAGAAATTTTTTCGTGGTGTGCGAATTAAAAAAATAACATTTTTTGTTAAGTGTTTTATGGTGCTCGCAACTGGATAAGGTCATATGAGCATGCGGGACGCATTGAACATTTTCTGTTGGTAGGAAATTTTGAATTTTGCTTGGGTGGCAGGCAAAGCCTACTCTTATCGATTTTAGACCTCTGAGAGATCTTTAACGAGGGCAACTTGCACACGGCACCTTCAAGATTTTTCGCCCTTGTCCGAAAAGGCTAGGTGTAGATCTTTCCTGCCAGAAAAACAGGGGTGCGGCTGAAAGACAGCAGTAAGAAGGAGCCAAGGAGTAGCTGTAGAAAGGCTGCAGAAAGAGTCAGAAGCCCAGAGGAGGGGGCAAAGGAGGTGAGGGGGTGGGAGCAGAAAGTGGAGATGAAAGCAGATGACAGAACAATGCTAGAGAGCAGGAAATGAGGTGAAAGGGGACAATTTTAGAGAAGGAAATTTTTCCGTGGCTACCTAGATTCGAACCTGTGACCTTTGAATGAAAGGCGAACACCTTAACCTCTAGGCCACGAAAGCCCCCATTACGAATTTTGCTATTTACTTGTTTTACATGACATACCATACAAAAAAATGGACATGTACAGGGAAAAATTAGGGGCTTAAAAATCTGTTCGCTATGTTGCTGTTTGCTTTGTGTATGTTAGTTAGACTGTAAGTTCATAGTATCTATAGTGCTAATAATGTTGCAATAGGTTGAGAGGGCAAATAGGATGCATTTTAGATGAAAATGGTGTTTCCTCATCAAAGCAAGAAAATACAAAAACGTTAGAGGCAAATACGATTACAAATTCCTTTAGGTGTAATCAGAATGTGCGTCATCTTTGTTCTCTTTTTGAGATACTGAGCACCAGCTCAAGGGGTTGTCAACTGTAGGTACCTCTATTCGCAGTGCAACAGAGCCAATGTTTATTTACCCATCTGCACATCTCTCACACTCTTGATGCCATTGTTTTTTCTAGCACTGGAAACATTTTGGAATGCTCTTTTTGTTTTTCAGGGGTTTTTTTTTCTTTACGTTGTTCAGGTTTTGCATAACTTTTTGTTTTTTTCCAGGTTCCAAGAGGGTACTACTAGGAATGACAAGTACGCTTCATCAGTGGAAGGTAGTCTGTTTTTTATTATACATTTTTATCTCATGTGTATGAGCTTGTATGATATACTGTCTGTCACATATTGTGAGTAAGATCCATAATAATAATCATGAAAAAGATCACTTCTATTACACCAACTTCCTGGTGGCTCTAAGCACTTAACAATAAAATAAAATTTAGACCATGAACACTGGCCCATTTAATGTACAACAATCATTTCCAGTACATTTGTACCGGTAATATAAGGATGTTTTGACATAAGAACACATACACAAAATGGCGGTTCAATACCTGGCAATGACACTTATTATTGGGAGAAGAATCAAACTAACTAGTAATATAAGATTGAAATAAATGTGTGGCGTGATGATGAAATCAGGCGCTCATCAAAATAATAATATCAAAGAAACCGGCTTTTTTCCAGCCCATTGAGCAATTTTCACCAACCTTTTTTTTTTTTTTAGCTTAACACCTTTTATGTCTTCTTCAAAACACATTTACTGGTGGATTTTATTGAATAACATTGATCAAAGGCACAAAAAATGTAAATTTGCAGTTTCCAAGGATACTCAAGCTTTGGAAGTCGCTAAACTTTGGTGGCCATTCTCTAGCAAATTTTACCTCCTTCAATGGGAAATATCTCAACTTGTTTTCAAGATCAGCGGATATTTTTTCATAAAAAGCAAGACAAATGAACAAGTTTTTAAAGTTATACCAATAACTCCTTATGCCCAAAAATTGAATAGTGCCTGATTCCACCATGTCATAACACAAATGTGCCTGTAGCCTCGTATTTAGTATATTATACAATTGACACAGTGAAATATCAGTGTTCTACAGTTTAGCTAGCATACACATAGCGAAGAGATTTTCAGGTTCAGAAATTTTACTCTTATGTTCTTTGTATTCATGACATGCACATATTGAAAGCAATTGGCGTCATTGAGGATAGATCTAATTAAACACAACCACAAATTTCCTTTATGGACTCTGCTGTGATGAGAGAGGAGAGAGTGGGTATGGTATGAGTGTAGGCCAATTACCTCTCTATAAGCCGAGGCCAATTTTGTAGGCCAATGACTTCTCGATAAGCCGAGGCCAATTTTGTAGGCCAATGACCTCTCTATAAGCCGAGGCCAATTTTGTAGGCCAAGGGTATGTTTATTTCATACGTGGCACGTGTTCAACGGTAGCTCCAGCCTGTATACTTTATTTGCATGTGGAGAGTCTGTGGTGGCATTAAGGAGCTTGCTGGCTTTGTGTAAAGTTGCTTCTAGGGTAAAGATGTAGTAGAGATTAGGCCATGGCGGACCATAAAAAGTGGAAAGGAATTGTGGTGGAGGGAAAATAGCCAATCCTTGCAGATGTGGATAAAAAAAATCAATGTAAAAAACCCAGACCTGCAAAACTTTTAAACTATGAACCTAGCACACATGTTGGCGTGGCATAGAGGGCATAATGCATTTAAGATTTATCCAATTGTTCAACTTTGTCTATCTCCTTTGATATTGCCTGAATGAAATTCATATATATTTTAAAAGATTTCCATGTCTTGCTGATTTTGCTATGTGTGTGCTAGACTGTAGCTCATTATAATAGGGTTTTGCATTCTTTAGAGCGGTTTTTATTCCAAATGAATCTCTGTTAGTGAAGCAGTCCTTTGTTGCAAGTGGAGTAACTAATTTGACTGACACTTAAAATGTTTAAGTAAGCATTTGTAAAAACTGTTGTTGTCTCATCTTCTGTAGGATTTCCTCCCCATCCTGTTAATGAAAGGTTAAGAGCTCCCATTTTTAAACTGGCCTATCCTGTGTCTTTTAGGGTGTTGCGCTCAAGACGGCATTTTTATTGCTTTCTTATATATTCTTGTGTATTTATGCATTTACTTCTACATGTTTGTAAGCAAAGCTGTGTTATTTCTTTTTTGTTTCAGGTGCAAAGACCCAAACAGCACCCAAAGAAAAGCTTCATCCTTCTTGGGAGGCTAGCAGAAAGCGGAAAGCAGAACAAAGTGGGCTGGTTGCGTTTAAAGGAAGTAAAAAAACTTTTGATGATGATTGAAGTAATGTAATGGTGTGGATAAATCATATATATTTGCTAGGTAGCACTTTGTTCAATTAATTCCCAACACATTTTGTGAGGATGTCTTTTTACGCTCTTATTCACTTGTTTTGAACTAGGTTTTTTTTGTGTATCTGTTACCAAGTAATGACTTGTGGTGGTTTCTGTACTGCTTGGTACAGGGTTGTGTGAGATGTGCTGTACCATCATGCCAATAGTGCAATAAAAAGGTTATACCACGGGCATGAAATCTAATACAGAATGTTTGAAAATTTGACCTTGCTCACAACATTTTGTCTGACTTTTCTTTCCTGTGGCAGTGAAATATTGCTAGTTTGTATGTATGTGTTGTTGAAAAAAGAAAAGTCACCAAAAAATTATGAAAGTTATGAATGGAGTCTTCCCATTTAATTTTGTCTTGTGAGTATAAATTTTAATAAATTGCCGTATTATGTATCTGTATTATCAGCATTTGCCATATAATGGGCAGGCTCTTAGGCTTGCGTGCAAAAAGTGTGAGTTTGATTCTGGCACGGAGAAGTCTGTTTTATAGAATATCTCTTTTTGTCTGATGAGATATAGTGTTCTGGGTTGGCCTGGATAGACAGGGTGGAACCAGACTGCTTCCTAAATGATCTAGATTGTGTCGATGGAAATATAGCATATTAACAATCATGGTTAGAAATCCCCTGGATATGTTTCATGCGAAGCAGTATTTTGCCTTTCAATTGTATTGAGTTGTCGCTTATACTGTGATAAGTGCTTTTATATGACAGTGTCTTTATTTATCCTTGAAATATTAGTAGGCCTGCTGTCGTCTTCAGGACTGAAATATAAATCATGAGTGTTACCAGGAAGACAGAAAAATATCACAAAAATCTGTTATGTTTACTTAAAACTTTTTATTGACACAAATTTTCGACTTTTCTGTTAACTGGTACACTTATACTAAAACTCGGTACATGTACAAAAATTGTACAAGTCAAAGGCTAAAATGATACAAATGCTCAAAATTGCGTACTGCATTGATCATTCGTGAACTATATACAGATATATTTAACGGAGAATACAAGCTATCTGATAATCACAATTGGGGTGTCAAACGTTACAACATACTTGTTTAATTGATCTTCATTGTCTAACTTTGAAAAGGGATATTATTTGAACATGTGTACACTAAGAATACATTTGCGTATGTTATAAATGCTACCAGGGAATGCTGAATGAGAGAGACAGAGAAATTTGTAGCTGTTCAATTTGAAATTGTTTTGATTATGATTTATCTTCCTGATGCCCTGTAAGATTTTGAATGTATCTTTCAATGTGTTCATTGCAAGCTTTCAGCTCAATGGCAAATAAAAAGAATTATCAAAAATATTTCATGGTGTTGGAGTTGAAGAGTTATTTTTTTATATCTATGGTGTCGATTTAAGAATTTATTTAAAGGAGGGAGGGAGGGAGTGAGAGAAAGAGCGAGAGAATTTGCCATACTGTCTCGGATATCAAAAGCAATGGATTTGCTTAGGGTACAACAGATTTGGTCTCCAAAGCCATTCAGTAGAGTGTTTCTTACTGTAACTTAAGCCTCTGTGGATGGTTGGGTGGGCACTCTGAAGTGGTCTCCTCTCTATGTTTCTTCTCAGTGTGATGATGTCATATAATATATGTATTGGTTACTGACCTATTCGAAGGCCACCATCTTTCTGTATTGCCATATGTTTCAACTCCAATTGCTTTGCCTATATTATTACTATAAAGTCTTACGATATGACTTCAGAGCCTCAATATTTGTACATTTGTCTCTAGAAAATGGCTAGTTGGTAGCTGACAAGGAAGTTGGCCCAAAGTGTGGTTCAACTAGGAGTCGAGTCCCGATTTTTCCATGTGCCTCTTTGGACAGTTCATTTGTGCTCAGAGTAACGTTGGCAATACCATTGGCAATTCAGTCACTTGTATGCAAGCAGAGTTAAAGGAGAGTTTTCCTTTTGTGACGTTCAATACAGATTTTGATATTTTTGGAGGCCTGCAAAAAAACCCAACAACAACCCAACCGAACACTACTGCCATTTTGCCTATATATACAGTCAAAAAGTAGTAAAAAACTCTCTTTATCCCAAAAGAACAGAAAGGGAAACAAACCTGACGACTATAATTTCTTTCCTCATGTCCAGTGACAAGGACTTCTTTTTCTCATTATCAGCAGTTTTTACGTCCCTGAAAACCAGATACAGTCTAGCAGCACAAACATTGCGAAATCAGTGGGACAGAAATCTTTTTAAGTACAAGTTTCGCTTTTGTACATGTTTTGCAAAGAACATAATATAATAAGAAAAGATTTGGGACCTGAAAATCTGTCCGCCATGTGCATGTTCTCTACATCTTTGCTAGGCTGTCTAACAAGCCAGATCTGCTGTTTTCTATTCTTTGATCACAACATTGGATCAAAATGTGTCAACAGGGGGATGTCACTATGCAATATAATTATAGATTTTGATAAAAAGAATAAAGGGGACAGTGGCAATAATGGGTATATTAAATATCACTTTGCTGACCCCAGTTTGTGTAAGTAACTTACTTCCGAAAAACACAATCTTTAGTGAACAAAATATGGTTTATTGTTGTCTGCAGTTCATTACAGGCAAATGCCTCCTTGGAGACATTGTTCAGGACCTTCGTTTATCATTTCAATTCATGCTAAAAAAAACTGCAGGTCAAGTTGTACCGAAACAATATGTATTACTTTGATAAATTTGTAATTGACAGGCAAATAGTCTTGCATAATTTAGTGAATAAAGGAAACAAGAGGACAAAAGACAAACTGACAAAAAAGACAAGTTGTATTGTCTTATTTAAGGGAATATGCAGGGTTACAGCATTGCTCAATCATAAACAAGGGGTTCATACCTGCACAATAATGTCTTGCACATGTACTTCAAACATGATATTCACAAAGCTGTTACTGTATAAATATGTATCCGTTATTGTATTAGTGTGATTATATTCACACATTGTCATAGTTGCATGAAATCCAAAGAGGAAAGGTATTGGAGAAAAAAAAAGGGAAACTGACAAGTGAACGAGCTCCTTTGTATGGCTTAAATTTACAATTTTCAAGTAAACTCGGTTCCCAATTGATGTTTGTCATAGCAAGAGTTCTATTCAAAGGCATGTATTTAAATACATGTATAAAGTAAAAAAAGTTTGTAAAGATTTATTTTTCCTCTATGTTTTGAGAATATTGAAATGAAACTTGCAATTTGAAGTAGCATACCTGCATTAGCAAAAGGGTGAAAGAAAGTTAATTAAAAAGAGACCATTGGTCTTTAAATATCTAAACTTGCAAGTGGAAGTTTTGAATAAATCCTCTACTTAACCCTTGTTTCGCAGTTACATGGTTCTACTTCTACATTTATGCAGTTTGCTCCAAAACAGCATTTATTACACCAATGAGACACTAGTAAAAGTAATATTTACACTTGAGTTTTAAATCAGCTGACTCCGTTTTATCTAAAGAATACAATATCAGCAAAGAAGAGGAAAAACAAGTGCATTTACACATTGCACAATGTTGTGAATGATACAATCAGCAAAAACCGTAATGACAATAATAATGACCATAACAAATGTTTGTACAGTAAATATTCTAGCTAAAATTACTAAAATGAAATTATACTATAATTTAAACGAGTACTTTGGAACATAATGAGCTTTTGATCAACGTTCATAGATAGGTGTAGCACTACAATAAAAAAGAAATCTGTGATGAGAAATTTATTGATTCGAGTTGCCGTATCTGACATGATCACGCAAAAGGGCTTTTTTCTAGAGTTAAAGACACTCTCTCTCTCTCTCTCTCTCTCTCTCTCTCTCTCTCTCTCTCTCTCTCTCCCTCTCTCTCTGTCTGTCTCTCTCTCAGCGTGTTTTTATGTGTGTATGTGTGTGTGACGTTTTTTTTGTGTGGTTATTATTGGGAATTGGGGAAATTTATATTTTGTTCAGATGCACCTATCTTAACTATCTAATACGATACCTCCCCACAGAATTAACAAATTCGCGGTGAGTGATGTTATTTTCCTTTGCGTAGCACACATGTGCACGATTTACTGTAGGTGAGGAACTTCAACTAAAATATGTCTTGACTCTAGAGACGGTAGAGTTAAGCTCCAAATTCTGAGTCTGAACACACTGCACAGTTGTACACTTCTAAGAACAGTGGGGCTTTTGATTACATATTCAGTGTAATAGTTTGAACATAGTGCAATGCACAGAAGTATGTACACACATGTACAACGGCGTACATTGTAAGTGTCGTCAGGAGAAGAGGTGATAAAAATTAATGATTAAAGTAAAAGGTGTGGAGGGAGTAGGGGATTTTTTGTGGGGGGTGGGGGGGCAAGGAAACCAACCTTCCTTTTTTCTCTTAGTTCAGTTAGGACCACTTTTGCGAGCCCGGATTCAAAGCTATTAGCTCTGTTTGAAAATTACATGTATATTACAAAGCTATGCAAGTACATTTTGCTAGTGTACGTTCATGAAGACGGAACCTTTGATTCTTCTTAAGTAGTCAGAATTGAAACAGTACGGGAGTCAGTAACGGCACTGATATAATCTAAGTAATGCCATTCTCCAGCATACCCATAGGTCTTTCATATAAACTGTTCTAATAATACGCTTACTGCCAATAGCATGGTTTTATGTAATATATAGGGACACAACAAACACAAGTTTTAGACAAGCCAAATTCAGATAAGTCTCTGCGTCTAAGCTACCTTTCGCGTCATTCAAAATCTGGTGTTCTTTAAGTTTAGGTATCCTGTTGTATTGATCGATATATTATATGTACATGTACCAGTATTTGTATGCAGTATACAAACTGCAGTGGGCCAACATAATTTGATCTTATAAAAAAAATTCCGCGGAAGTTTAAAAAAGTCCAGCCCTACTAAAAGGTAGTCAAAGAACATGACTTGCTCATTTTTATTGACTTCGTGTTCCATTGATCACAATACTCGGAATCTTGTTAAGAATACACACCTTGTACACTGGTGCAACATTAATTTGGGTTTTTGAAGGCTTAAAAAAAATAATAAATAGACGGAGAACTAAGCTCCATGTAGTGGGACGCCAGCTGGTTTTGTAGGTTACGATTTATGTAGCCTATATCTTTTCTTCGTTAATTTGATGAAATTTGTTCGTGAAGGTTGTTCAGAGAACACACTTTAAATAATATGAAGTAGTAGGCTAGGAATGACAGATGGATTGGGAGATATTCATTATATTTAAGACTGGAGCAGCGCCAAGAGTGCTAGAAGTGACAATTATAATGGATTGAGGATCCCCGTTTTAAAGAGTAGCAATCCCGCCAAGGATGCTGAGCTGCTACCCTTGCCACCATGACTGATACACTGCGCATTCTTTACTTTGTTGAACCAATACTTGATGAACAGTGACACCTTTTTTCTTTGCCTTTCCCTGCTAAGTTTTGACTCTGCTGGTAATGGTGAAGCTGTGGAATTTCTCTGAAAAATTTACCATATTTTTGGTTAGCGTTACTCATTCTGACGGCTACTTGAAAGCGCTAGTGCTCAATATTACTGGGAATTGTTATGTTCCATCGCAACAAACGACAGTGTTTTGTGCTCTATTTGTCTACAAAAATTTTATGTCTCATCATAATAACCACGCAGGGTATGGTTAATTAGGCCAGTTGTACATGTAGTGGAAGCAAAGTACAAGAAAATGATCGGTGCTCTACTGGGTTTGTCTACACTGTTGTGTCTTTTCAGGTGTTGTGTATCATACGCCTTTCCAGCTATGTAGTTCTCTTTCATTGCGAGGCTGGTCTTGAATTCTCTTCCAGTGGCTGCTATCTTTTGCTACCTGTTTTCAGGTTCTAAAGTTGATCTCTGTTGAGGTCATGTCCTCTAAGCAACTCGAATATAATTTTCTATTTCGATATTCCATACTGACGCAACCATGAGGCAAGGACATATTCAGAGTAACGGTGCAGCACATTCTTTTTCCGGTGATTAAACTATTATGCTATCATTATAATACGTGGCCAGTTCAAGGGGAAGCATTCCGTAACTAAATAGAAAGAAGTCTTAGTGTAACTGTACATACATATATTTGTGCAAAGAGAAGGCCTATACTATAAATCATTAAACAGGTTGTTTATCCTATTTTTAAAAAGTGACAAACGACTTCAAGAAAATAAGGTACTCATCTCATAATGTGGATTATTTAATCATATTGTAATGCCAAACGTCACCTTGCTTTCATTACTGTCATAAAAAAGTCCATACATCGCACCATATCAGCCATTTACAATGTCATACAATTATGGTAATTTAGTTTTTAGTAAGAGTTTTACAGCATTTGCAATGCAAATCGGTCATAGTTATATGTGTGACAGATAAGAGGTGTTACTAGAGAGAACATATATACGAGGAAAAGGAGGAGAATTAAGGGTGGTAGTTGTTTGACAGGAAAGAAGGAGCAAATCACACTAGAGCACCCGCAAACAACCCATCAATCATGGTAAAATGCTCTACCCATTCATGTAATCTGGTAAAGAGAAGACAATGTCTAGATACACAATGTATAGATGTGTGACATTCTTCACCTGTGTAAACAGTGATTTATTACACACACTCAAAAATGTACTCATCCTATACTATATCCCTTTAGAGCACACTCCTCAAAATGTGGCATCTTCAACAGTGTTGGTATATAATATAAAGACCTATTATTATATTGTGTTAGCACCATGGTCACCTTTTCAGGAAGCTGCCCCACCACTCCCCTTTAATTAGATTCAATGACTGTTGCCTTTTCTATCTGGCACTATGTGGCTATAGTAAGTGCAGTAGATTATGGTGCTTGTAAAGAGTACACTGAAATATCCGATGGTAATATGAAGCAGATCAGAAGTTGATTTTTTTTTTTTTACATCAGAGGGATGGGTTCCATTTCAGCTCCGACCCGATTATACAGATTTGAGAGGCCGGGCATATCTGTAACCCATGCTGCATAAACATGCAGGCCCTCGCACCAAGACGCTGTATGTAATACATTTTTACACATATTGTTCTGACCTCAGTGTTCACAGCGATTACATAAAACAACCCGTACAAACACACTTGTGCAGAAATCTTCATTCAATACAATTCTCATAAAACAGAATCAGACAATGGTAGGCTACATCAACAGAAAGCATCCTTGCATTCCGCAAACACTGAAATCGATACACGTTCCAACATTTCTAGCTTTTAAACTTGTATCCTTACGCCAGTCTTGTCCTCTTTCAAAGTTCAACTTCACATTTCACACCCAGTTTCATATCCACAGGAGACTGTCCTGCCTCACTCACACTCATCCTTCTTTTTGTCTCGCTGGTCACGAGGGTACAGCAACAACAGCCAACAATCTGAGCATTGGGAGTTTGAGCTGTGATACACTTGTCTCAGTCAGGGCAAAACTAAAGAAGAATCACCCCCCCCCCCCCGCCCCGCCGGAACTACTGGTGCAGGTGCCGTTATTGACAACAGAATAGTATGGTGTATGCATAGTATGAATGCGCAAAGGGACGGGGTCTAAAATGCACTGTAAAATAGTCTCTTTGGAGTTTTCGTTTAATTATAGATTTCGCCTGAAAACTGTCCCTTGAGAGAGATATGACAGAGGTCAAGTGCCCCTCAGATCCAAAAAGAATCCACCCAGAGCCATTTGATTTACAGCATTTCAAAAGAAATTCATCCATGTCTTAATTATCTAATTTCTTTCACGTCACTTCATTGAGCCTCAGCAAAATTCGGTTGATCATTGACAGAAAAAAACACAGCCAACAGCGCAGACACGACTGGAGACGTCGTCTTTCATGGACATTCCTCTCGGAACTTGGCAGACATTGATCTTTTGCCAACAGACATGAAAAAAAAATGGGACCTTTCTTAAATTCATACTAACGAACAGTTAACTGCGGTGTTAATACTTGGACATCAACGGGAGCCAATCTACTTTTACCCCCTTCACTTTTGTAGTTGGTAGCGCAAAGTGTAGAAAAAAGGTCGGGGTGAAAAAGGGAAAGGGGGGGGGGGTGTCTATTCTTTAGTCAGGCGTACAGGGAGACGATGACAAGGGTCACCCGCTGACTGCTCGTCGTGTTGTCGGGATCTTACACGCCTATGGGTCCTTTTGAGTGCTTGAGCTTGGAGCATGTCTGACAGCACAGGTGCTTGTAGTACTCGTAGGGACACAGGCGGGACTGGGCCACCACCAGGCAGTCAAAGTAGTTGTCTTTGCAGTCTTCTTGTGCTGGAATACAATGATCAGAAAGACAGAATTATTGCATGGGATAAGAAAAAGTACCGCACTCCTCACTCGCATCTATTACTAAGCAGGAGGCTCCTTTCTAAAACCTTTCACGTATCCCTAAAGCAGGATGTACAAACGGGACGCGTTTGCGTTAAACCGTTAGAGCAAAGTGCATAAGGGTAACTAAATAGTAAAATAAATAGGAAAGGTATGGGAAAAATCAGATCCACTTTATGGGTTTTTCTTTATTCCGTCGAGTCTTTATATATCTAAATCATAATTGTCCCACGCGCGGGTTGGAACGGATTAAAGAACAGAATGATAAAATTAAAAGAAATATCAGGAGCTTTTTTGGCAGTCGGGAAGGTGGGAAGGGGGAGGGGGGTGGGTGGATTGTTGAGTTGAACGACTGGAACAATATAGGCCTATACAGGCAAACTGAAAACTTAAAACGATTTATGATCAATGGTGTTAACATGTAATATAAAGTAAGATTGAACAGAGAGAAATGCTAACTGATGGAGAGTGTTGCTCCGTAAACGTCAAAAGCAGAAACAACTTGAACATCAGTCAGTGGCATATCAATCGCTAAAATTTAGAGAGCATTTTGTCTGATTTTTTTTAGGGAGAAGAAGAGGGTGGAAAAAGATGGGGGGGGGGCAGACAGAGAAAAAACCAAAACACACACACACACACACACACACACACACACACACACACACACACATACACACACACACACACACACACACACACACACACACACACACAAATACATGCGTGTGCAAAAAGAGAGACAGAGAGAAAGAGAAAGAGAGAAGGGGAGAAAGAGAGAGAGAGAGAGAGAGAGAGAGAGAGAGAGAGTGAGAGAAAGAAAGAGAAATATATACAGAGAGGGGAGAGATATATATAGGGAGAGATATATAAGGAGAGAGAGAGAGAGAGAGAGAGAGAGAGAGAGAGAGAGAGAGAAACAGCGAGAGTGAGAGAGAGAGAGAGTGACAAGGAGAGAGAATGAGATGCCTAGAGAGAGAGAGACAGATAGAAAGAGAGAGAGGGGGTGGAGGGAGAAGGAAAAAGAGAGAGAAAGAGAGAGAAGGAGAGCGAGAGAAAGAGAGAGAAGGAGAGCGAGAGAGCGAGAGAGAGAGAGAGAGAGAGAGAGAGAGAAAGAAAGAGAAAGAAAGCGAGAGAGAGAAAGAAAGAGAGAGATAGATAGATAGATAGATAGAGAGAGAGAAAGAGAGAGGGAGAGAGAGAAAGAGAGAGAGGGAGAGAGAGAGAGAGAGAGAGAGAGAGAGAGAGAGAGAGAGAGAGAGAGAGAAGAGTGGCTCTCGAATAGCCTCATTAATATATGATGTAAAGCACGTGAGAAGCATAGCATAAAAAAGGAGGGAAATCTTTCATTACCTCAGCACTATTTCTGTTCATATTTTAAAATTCAAAGAAACAAAAAAGCATGGAAAGCGAAAGATCGATATGCTGCTATCAAATACATGTATCTGAAATGAGTTTGATAACATGTAAATTCAGGGTACCTGGAAGCAAAGCAAAATACATACACGATGTACACATTTTTTTGCATAAAGTGCCATTCCAAAGCTGCAACAAGATTCTACAGCATAATGTATGTATGTAGCCAGCCACACTGAACTTTACAACGATTAGCGCACACTTTTGTTTTTACAAATTTCACAGTTTTTCAAACTTCATACGCTCACTTGTGAAGCTCTATAACAAAAAGAAAATGCTCACACTGATTCAACTTCCTTCAGCGACTTATTTGTTCTGGTTTTGTGTCAGAGAAGTCAACGTATGTAACTAAAAAGTTTCATGTCTAACAAAGAAGGCCAAATAGACATCCAGCCCTGAACCACACACCCACGATATTTGACCTAGTATGTATGAGATTGAGAATATAATATACATTTCATGGACACTGTACCGACGTGGTAGTTTTTACTTGTTATTCAGTGCACAGCTATGAACCACATATGAGCAGCTCCGAGGAAGAAAAGGATCCAGAAAATAGCAGTTTGTCAGAAATATAAACGTTGATGCTAATGTATTTGAGTAAATAACTTTGGGAAATGTCTGCGAACTCATTGTTAGCCATTTTTATCAGCATCCTTTGAGCTAGGGTCATGTGATGTAAGCTCACTGACTCACCCTGGTCACGATATTACCTCACAGTGAGAGTTATCAAACATACCATTATTATTCCAAATTGAGCTCAAAATAATATTCCCAAAATAGTTATGACAAAAATACCACATACAAGAAACAAATAACACCAAACAAACAATTCCAAAAAAAGAAAAACTAAAAAATCCAAATAACCCAAATAACCCAAAAACGAAACAATAACAACAACAAAAAAAAGCAAAAAGCAAAAAGTGACACGAGTGTAGCAGAACAGAATATGCAATGTAAAGGTTGATTATGCACAGAAATGTTTGTGTACATTGGATGCCACTTCGCTATTTTTTTAATCTTTGATTACTTTTTTGCAATTCTGGCATGTGTGTGTGTGTGTGTGTGTGTGTGTGTGTGTGTGCGTGTGTGTTTGTGTGTGTGTGTGTGTGTGTGTGCGTGTGTGTTGTGTGCCAGAGCGCGCTTGTGTGAGAGGGGGAGAAAAAAAGAAAGATAGAATAGAGACAGACAGACATATAGACAGGCAGACAGACTAAACAGATAAACAGAGTGTGTGAGAGACAGACTGGCAAAGATGGACAGACTCACATTAATACACACTCGGGCGTACATATTCAAATGCACATGGAGAGTAAAATGAGAGTTCAGACAGACAGACGGACAGACAGAAGGTAGGAAATGGGGTGGAAACTATGATAGAGAGATAAATATTCGATTATCAAACGTTTCTAGTTGAATCAAAATAAATTTGTTATTTGTATTACGTTGGTAGGGAACATGTTACATTGTATAATAATGATGTTACATTACAATGGCATATTGTGAATTATTTATGATTTATTCAGCTGTTACCACTTGAGTTTAGCCGAAATCTTCTTCTAGAAGCGTAAGCAAAAAAGGCTGTTTCAAATAGTCTTTGGCATAAGCAAAACATCTAAATGTTCAATAAAACAAGAACAAAATATGCCTCACAATGACAAGGATCGCCAATTCAGACCAGCAAAAGCATTTTGTAAGCGACAGCCCTCCCCCAAACAAATTAAAAAAAAAAAAAAAAAAGTTAAAGAAAAAAAAAAAAAAAGAGTTAAATACCCCCTCCCCCCCAAACCAATTCTTAAAATGTTGTAGGAAAGAAATTGACTTTCTAACTTCTGGGTACAACAGACTCTGGAATCTGAACCTTAATCGAACATTTCTTTCACATCTATGGGTAAACATAGAATAGAATATTATTAATAATAGTTCGTTCATCTATAGATCTATCCTAAGATAATTAAGCCTAATGCGTTAGCAGAGAAGAATATTTCTACAGAGAAATGAAAGGAAGGATTACAATGATTGGGTGCTACGCTATAGCCAATGAGACCAATTCTGGCAGAGAAGAGTTAGCTACATTTTGAGCATTTTATAGCTTCATTTCCACTTGTGTGTGCACGCAGCTTGAGGGCTTTTCTCTTGGCGTCAGCATTTTTAGCTCTTGAAGCCTCATACTCATGATTTGCTGCCTACTGTGCTTGCCGCTCTTCAGCTGTGTCTGTCAGGAGTTGAGCTCTCCCATGTCAAAGAATCAATATTGAAGCCCTTCAAAGACAATTTCAAGGTGTCTTTATTTATTATTGCGCTCTTTTGGTGCGCCAACTTTACATTTCCCGGGGAACAGCCCGGATTGAATACTAGTACTACCCTTGGGGTTTTGAAATAAGGAATTCTTACAACATCGCCAGCAACACAGCGAAGCTCAGTCCTTTAAACGTACATTATACACATAACAACGTATGTTGGTGTATTCTCGTCTTTTAATGGGAAAACTCTGACACATACACTCTCCATTAACAGTTGATAACAAAATCAAACGTGACAACTAAGTGTCTTACACATCATCTTATATACACAGATGAAGCAAACACCCCTCCCCATTATCCCAGCCTCTATTCGATAATGCAAGTTCAATTTCTCCAGATGTAATCTCAAAGTTACCTTGTACACAAAACAATTCCCGGCATTAGATAATGGGCAATAGGATAATAAAACAATAATATAATGTTAGTTGTTCAGACAAAAGACAGCTTGTGTGACGAACGGCGGCAACAGTTGATTAGTGAAAAACACAATACTTGCTTGACAAGGGAAAGCAGAAATTTGAGGGGTTATATTAGTACAAAAAAGGGCTTTAAGTTGGAGCGATAAGGGTGGCATTGTCAGTCAGACAGCCAGGGAAAACTTGGCGAAACAGCAAAATCAAGTGCAAACATATTCACCCTCTTGTGAAGAGGAGGAAGAAGAAGCTATATCGGATGAATGTCCAGATTTGTTTTCTTCTTCTACGTCTTCAAAATCATCCTCCACATCCACTTCTTTCTCTTCCTCCCTCTCACCGCTAACAGACTCAATGAGTGTTCTCCTCTCCTCTCCTCCATCAACGCCGCCACCGAGTGTCAACTGCGCATAGCTTTCTGTGTTGCCTGTGCCCAAGAGTGTGAGGAAGGAAGGACCGGTCAGTCGACAGCAGAAAACGACAAACGCCTTGTGGTGTCGTCCATTTCTTCTTTTTTAAAAAGTATGTTGCTGTACCCGCCAATGCATTTCACTTACCCACTTTTCAGCTTGTTGTCTTAAAGTTTTTAGACAAGTCTTAGTGTGAACCCATTGTCGTGCGCGTCAATACCAGCATCCACATGTACACACCGCTAACTGCACTTTCATACGTTGACAGACCTATAAGTTACTCCAGAACCCCGATTTAGCATAGCCTTCGGAAGCGCCGTAAAGTTGAGCTTAACTGCACTGAGGAGGCCGTGGTTCAAATACCAAAGGAACTATTGCTGAACTTAACTCGTCTGGATGTTTTCTTCAAAGCTCTCCTTTAGTCATAGTTAGGTCCTTTCGGAGACAAATGAAACATTGGTAGAGCTTCCTCTTTGGTAATCTTACTGTCTTGAAAAGAGCATTAACCCCGTATTATGCTAGCAAGGTAGCCGTTTTACATAACATTTTTGTACGTGGAAATGAGCAAAAACCTCAAAACATGTATTTTGTATTGAGATTAAATTAAAACTATCTATGGATCCCGATTTCCACACTAAGGCACACAACAGCCTCGTTTTAACTTATTAATATCATTTTTGTATTGCTGGACATATTTTAGTCAGAACCTTGTCAATCATCCAAAATCGTTAAGTTTTTATATAGGACATTAAACACATGACATGCTACACATCTGATAGCGTTTCGATCCACTAGGGGCACGTATCATAAGGAAAAAAAAGTTCTTTAAACAAGTTGTTGTAAATTAACAACAGCAGCAACAACGACGACGACAAAAACAGCAACAACAAGAACAAGGACACAAACAGCAATAATATTAATAACCAATTCACATAGACACATTTGGAGCTCTGTTCATCTTTCCACTGTAAATATCTGAAGGATTTAAGACAAATTGCAGTACACAGAGGTTAAAAAGCAACAATACACGACACACTGTGCTAGGATTTATATACATGAAATTCAAGTCGATAACATACCCATTTCTGGCAGTTCTAAATATATACAAATATACATACAAATTACGCAAGTCAGGGTATGGTAAGATACAGAAAGCCTGTTGGAAGTACTTGTGCATATTACTTGTTACTGGACACACAATAGACTGAATGTGCTTATACTGCTTTTCCAGGAGAGTGAAAGAAACAAACAGGCAGCCTGTTTAATAGAACAATGTTCTATAAATTAACATGTGCAAAAGTATTTGAGCTGGAAAGCATCGTCGACAAAACTCGAAGCTGTACGTTATTTTTGGCATGCATATGTGGCATAGGCGGCTCACGTAGTTAACTTTTTCATGAGCAACAACCCCTTCCTCCTCTCCCCCCCCCCCCGGTTTCCCGGACCCCCCCCCCCCCCCCCCCAAATCCTCTAGTAGCTAAAGCACAAAAGAACATACCTTGTCTGCTTGTTTCCAGGCTGGACCTATATCTGCTTTTCCTCGGCCTATATCGTTCTGCTCTCTCCGTGTATCTATCTGTCCTCTGGTAATCGATACAGGCGGAGAGCGAGCAAACTTCTCTTGTGTGGGGCTTCAGTGACCCTACGCAGGACAAGGAGGATCTTCCGTCTTCCACACAGCGAGATTCTCGAGTGCGGATGCCATCACCGCATGTGACGGAGCACTGAAACGGATCAAAATGACTGTAAATTATGTATTTCGCCTCAACATACAACAATCTAGTTTATATAGAAGGCGGGGAGACCAACTGAAAGCGTGATAAAATAGCATTGCTGTGTAGTGAATGTTTGTTTTCATGATTGGATGTAATGTTTCAATATTCATTACATCTGGTCACCCACTTCTCTATTTACCACTCTTACCCCGCTCCCGTCCTTCACTTAATAAACACACGCGCACATGCATATTCACACACTGACACAATCATTTTAACATATATACACTCCCACAAAGAAACATTATGAGAACACTCTTGGACTAACACAAACATTCTATGGAAGTCTTATTTATGAGTGTGAGGGTCACGTTCCCAGACCTATAAAGTGTCGGTTACATAGGATTTAGAAGGGTGGTTATTGGTGTGTATAAATATAATTGAGCAAGAAATGACAACCCCAGCTAAAAAACACACCCAAACAAACAGTGCGCTGCCCAGGGGCGACCAGCAATGGCAAGTTTTGGAAATTGTTCTGTACTGGTGTGATATTGTGTATCTGTGTATGTATTTCTGCAAGCATTTTAAATTATGCATTTATGTATGTATATGTTTGCCATTGAAACCCAAATTTCCCATTGGGTATCAACAAATTAATGTAATTCATTCTTTCATTTATTATTTTATGAAGACAGCCATAAACGTCATGCTTCTTGACCTATTTTCGGAACTTGCTGATAAACCATTAGCAATGGATATGAAGGTTCTGAACTTGGTCAGCATGAAGTCCACCCCGATTCCAAGAAGACTTTCTTTTTTCTTGTCCTTCCCGGCAACGCTATTCTTCTTTTTGCTTCAGGTATATCCTGACGGGAGATGGTCTTATTCTGTTGCTGAAACAACTCGTTTTGAATCAGACACAAAGGTATGCCTTTAAAAGAAAAAAAATCAACCATATGTCACCTCTGACCAGTTTGAAGTGTACCACACGGCGCTGCAATCGGCGTTCGAGCAAGGCTCTTGAGAGTCGGGCCTCAGGGACGCCTCACAGTTCTCGTCCCGCACGATCTCCATCTCAGTTGCTCCCCTTTGAAGACACACCACCTGTCGGCGGCGGGTGCCTTCACCACAGCTCGAAGAGCACTATAGTCGGAAGATAAAATCAGAATAATAATAATAATAATAATAATAATAATTATAATAATAATAATAATAATATATCTCATTTTCCTTCTTGGACAATCATTGGAATAAAATATCTTCTGATTCTCAACCAAAGATATAGCAACACATTATTAATTCAAAATGTACTTGAGATGAGTGAGAAAAAAAGACCATATAACAAACGTAAAAAAGGTGAATAATAATTTACTTATCACATGAGTCTGAAGCTAAAATAGAAAGCCATATTATATGAAAAGGCGAAATAATCACATAGAGGGCCTTTGGAGCTGAAAGATAAGGCCTAACTTTCATAGTGATAAGGGTATCAAAGCAGGGAAATAAAAAAAAAAAGAGAGAGAGAGAGAGAGAGAGAGAGAGAGAGAGAGAGAGAGAGAGAGAGAGAGAGAGAGGGTAAGAAGCCACGTGTCTTGCATTGTTGTATATAAAACGAGAGCGCCAAGGCTTTGGGAAAGTTTAGATAGCGGAGATTTGATTTGCGAGACATAATAAGTTAGAAAGCGCCGATCAAGTGTAGAATGAGTTAGCTATGGTAACGTGGTGGCGTTCTGGACACTTGCGTTATGAAATATCTCCATAACTAAAAGAGGTCAGGAGTTATTTGACACAACCCAGTTCCTCTTCACCGCACGAAGCATCGATGTAATCGTAGTACAAAAATAATGTTTCTGCATTACAGAAGTCGCGGTGAAAGGTAGGAATATATATTTATATAACATAACCCACCCTCCCAAAAACAATTAAACAACTCAAGATTGGATAACGCATGATACCTCTACCTCACCCCTCCCCAGATAAGTCACAGCAACAGAAGGCTTCACACACACACACACACACACACACACACACACAAGA